TAGGTCCCGAGCCGGCGATTTACCGAAGATTACCTGTAGCGAGAGCAGGTGAGAATTTATTTTAGTGTGAAATGGCAGCAGAGCCAGCAGACTCGGTTCCTTCAGCCTGCCCTTGCTCAGCGCCAGCTCCTTGGCATCGGGAGCTGTGGTAGCCTGTGGTCAGTGAACATCTTCTCTCCACAAAGGGTGTACTAGTAACAAACACAGGCCAGCAGACAGGTCACTGTAGTAAAGAGAGTTCTGGAAGCACAGTTCAAGAGTAGCTAACCTAGAGCTGGGAGTCAGAGAAGATGAGAGTCTAATGATGTGGTCTTGATGGTGAGGTCGGACCATGGCCCTGCAGGAGCCGGGCCTGAGGAATGGTCAGGGAGCTTAGAAACAACAGGCAGGAGAGGGTGTGACTTTACACTTTCGTACAGAGAATGAGCATCCACATGCAGGAGAGAGGGAGGACACTGTAAAAAGTGGGGCCCAAGAAGGAGGCCGCCTGGAGGATAAGGGTCGCTTTGTAGAAACAGCCAAAGCCACACTAAATGATCTGGCTTCATCCTGGTGGTTTTGGTGGGGAGCAGTAGGATTGGACACGTGGCTTTGTAAATTGTCCTGGCTGCGGTGTGCGCAGCAGGTTCAAGGGGGCGAGAGGAGGCTGAGGCACAGGGAAGAAGGGGATGCCCAGGAAGGCTGACGGTGATGGAGGGAAGCCGAAAGATAGGCTTGGTGCTGAATATGTATGTGGACAAAAGAAAATGCACCCCCCCCACCCCCAACCCCCCAACCCCTCACCCCCCGCAAACTGATGCCGGGTTTTGTTTTTTCAGACAGGGTTTCTCTGTAGCCTTGGCTGTCCTGGATCTCACTCTGTAGACCAGGCTAGCCTTGAACTCACAGAGATCCGCCTGCTTCTGCCTCCTGAGTGCTGGGATTAAAGGCGTGCACCACCACTGCCTAGCTGCTCAGATTTTTTTATGTAGTTTACTTTTATTATTTGTGTGTGCATGTACATGTGTGTGCACATGCCCTATCATGTGTGTTGCGAACAGGACTCTGTTCCCTCCTTTCACTGTTGGTTCTGGGGCTGAACTCAGGTCATCAGGCTTGCTTGGCAGGCACTTATCGTCACCGTCAAGCCATCTTGCCGTCCAGATGCTGAGTTCCCGACCGGACCCATCAGTTCACTGGTTTGCCTGTGGCTTCTCCGCCAAGCAGCAAACAGGGAAGGAGGCAGCAGGCTTGGCAGAGGAGGCAGGTCAGTCGCTTCTGTTGCATACCTGATGATTGTCATGGAGACATACGTGGACCTGCAGACTGGGTACAGGTCCCCGGTGTACAGAGAGATGAGAGGAAAGCTGTGTAGGCTCTGGAATTAGGGGCCCAAGATGGAAAGACATTTGAGAACCATCTCTGAACTACGGGCTTGGTAAAAAGCAGCTGTCACGTTGCTTTTCAAAACGGTTTGAATCTCCGCAGCACGCTTTAGTGCTGGGTGGCTGCTTGGTCGTCTGAGGTGATCCTTTGTCCATTCACCTGGTGTCCTTTCAAGTTCACTGTCTTTGTAGCGGAGGATCCATGCCAGGATTCAGTTCTGATGCTTGAATACTGTTGGTCTAATATGCTGGGTTTGGGAATTACTTTTTATTCCTTATTTAGGATGAAATTAAATCTTACATTTTAAATTGTGTTTCTCTAAAGGAAGAAAGATAAAACCTAGAACTTTAGAAATGTAACTGAGAGCATGGCAGCATGGAGGGAGGGGCAGGGCAGTGTTCCAGAGCATGGCAGCATGGAGGGAGG